AAGTACACTAGAGATAGAGTTAGGAAATAATAGGATATGCAGTCGATTTTGTGTAAGAGAGGGAAAGAATCAAAAGACCGTCAAACATAATACCAAATTTTATGGCATAAAATGCATTGGAGAGAGCAGTATTGGAGGATGCTTATTGTTTTAATCACAGCAACTTTGAAGTATTTTTGTGGCACAGAAGTGGAGGCATAAAGTTGGAACTAGATTAAACTGTGATATTCAGAGAACATCCTGGGCTAAAAACATGAATCTAAACATCATTGGTATGTAGATGATGAACAATGCCTGAGTTGGAATGAGATCACCTAGGAAAGAGAGGGAGTGCAGAGCAGTCCTTGGCTAGTGGTCTGAGAATCTCCACCATTCATTTGGTTGGCTGCAGAAAATAAATACCACTAAGGAAATAAGGGCATTGTGGTGTGAGGTGAAAAGGGGACCCAGAGAGCTGGGTGCTGGGAAAAGGCTCTCAAGGTTTCAGGGTGTTTCTTAACAAAAGCATATGGTTCTGTAAATGCACAAAGTAAGAAGGGGGTCCTTAACTCTCCTTTTGATGAAGTATTATTAAGGTCACTGGGAACTCTAGGAAAAGCATTCACGGGAGCTGATAAGACTAGTGCCTAGAACACAGTTGACTGGAAAGTGAATGAAAGTGAAGAAACAGAACAGTGAGAACAGCTACAACACACTGCTCTTCTCAGAATTTGAGCAGTGAGGAGTGGGAGAGAAAGTTGAGGTTGGAGTAGGATGTGCTTTATTTTGTCTTGTAAATGGCACATACTATGTGTGGTTGAAAGATAATGGATAGAATCCATTGGGAAGAGAGGAGTATGTATACAGTAAAATTCCTAAGGGAGTGAGGTAATGGAACAAATTTAAGAGTGAGTATACTTAAAAAAGTAGGGCCAGCTTACGTGTTTCCAAAATGAATGAAGATGCTTTGCATGTGGGTATAGGTGGGGAGTATATTGAAAATATAGGACTTGTCTGAATATTTTTATTATATTTATTACATTATACAAACTCTATTATATTCCTACCACCTTATAGGCTGAGTTTGACATTTCCATTGCTTTTGTACAAATGGTGATTCTGTATTTAAACTTCTTAATGCCTGGAGTCAATACATTGTTTTATAGTTCTACATAGCCTATCTCCCTCATAGGAGTTAACTACAAGTTTAATCATTAACCAGGTCAGCAACACATTTAACAGATTTTTATCCTTAGCATTACTGAAAACTTGGACTAGCTAATTAAAACAAGTGTATGAATTTTACAATTGTCTTTACATTTAGACATGTTCTAGTGGGGGTTGGGGATCTATCCCCTGGTTTGTGGCCAGGGCAGAAGTTGGAGAAAGTTGCTGTGTCAAGTGGAAAGGCTGGATAAACCCTGGTAGGGTTGCCAGGCAGTGCTGAAGGCCTGTTTGAGTTTTCTGACCTTGAATTCATAGTATCATTTTGTCCTGTGTGTTGTTTCTCAACTTGTGTTCGGTCTCTCGAGTTTATTTAAGCACAGAAAGTAAAGGCAGCAGTACCTTTCTGCAGAGCTAGAGTGGAGGCTATGGAGGGGTGTACTTCAAGCACTTGAGGGTGTGGCTGGTGTACAGGCCAGGTCTAGGAAGAAAACCTGCTTGGTTCATGGAGGGCAGAAGAAACAGCCACCATGTAGGATGGCCAAGGGAAAGGTGAGTTTCAGGAAAAGCAAAGTCAGTAGAATCCACAGAGCCATTACTGCAGAGAATACATGTGAAATGTGTGGCGTTAAATCAAAACATGATTGTATAACAGAGTTCCAAATTCCAAGTGCCCCATTTCTTGCCATGGGTAAAGCTGCTTTGAAGAAGATTCAATTTTAACTATTCAAGATGAATTGCTTTAGCGATAAGTGGAGAGAAAAAGATATAGATAATCTGGCCATCCTGTTAATTAATTGCTGTGGGGGAGGATGTTCAATTCTTATCCCAGCCACAAGTAAAATGAATAGCTTGGGAGTGCTGTAAAAGGAAGAAAAAACTATTATTATTATTGTGTGTGTGTGTGTGTGTGTGTGTGTATGTATAAGAGCGTGGCTACTCAAAAGGTGAAAGCAGAAGACAAATTAATAGAATTCATCAACTTACCCTTGATTTACAAGATTGTGAGAGAGGACAATGGGAGCTCTCTGATCATGTGTAGTAGCATTTCGTTGAGTGCAGAGAAGCTGTACTGCCTTTGTACAATTGGTACTGAAAAGCAAGAGGTTTCCTGACAAGTGTGTTTATCAAGTATATCTGCAGTGTTATTTTGTGTGCTCAGTTGCAGCCCCTGCCATTCTTCTCCATGCTCATTTAACATGGACTCATCTGGTAAATCCTGCAGGTTGGTAGGAGGACAGGAAGAGAAGGAAGCTTACTCGGGATCATAAAATTGAAGATACTGGCCTCTCTCTCACACAACATACTTTTCCTTCTCTCCCTCCCTGATCGTCATGATTATTGTTAGTAGAGAAAATGAGTGACTGAGTGCTGGGATCCTACGAGTCTGCTGATTAGATACTTAAAGCACCATGGATAGAGGTTTCTGCTCTAGCTGTCTAGTTTGACCTGAATTCTTGATTAGGGAGGAAAAACGCTGACAGGTTCCTTAACCTGCTTCTCTGGCCATTTCACTGTTTCCTGCTGTATTGGGTAGTTAGGTGCAGTTCTCCCTCTCGAAGGTCAGAACTAGCAGTAGCGATTGATATCTTTAGTGTCCGTGCCACATACTGTGCTAAACTGTCTGTTTATTTGTTTTATTTCCCCAAGTAGCACTCTGATATTATTGACTCATTTTTCAGAGTACACAGCTAAAGTTCAGGGATCTGGCCCAAGATTATGTAACACATTTGTGGCAGAATCTGAATTTTGGACCAGGAACTTCTCTCTGTAGATGCCACATTATTTACCAGAATTTAGAGCAGCACCACCAAACAAATGCAGTAAGAGCCAAGTGAAATACTACATTTTTTAGTAACTTCTTTAGAAGTATAGAGAAATAGGCGGGAATAATTTTCATAACTTTTTACTTAACCTAGTAAGTCCAGAATATTAGTGTTTTAATGCATAATCACTATTTTAAAAAATGCTGAGACAGGGCCCTCCCTGGTGGTGCAGCGGGTTAAAGCACAGCACCAGAAAGCTAAAGCCACTTCAGCATGAGTTCCATTCCCACCTCAGAGGTGATCCACTTGGCATGGCAGACCTCTCCTGACCCATGCACTGTTGCCCTCAGCAGTGTGCTTCATTGTTCTGCCTGTGGTGCTCCCCACTCTGTCTCTGGTGAAGCCTCTCACTGCCCCTGTACCTCTGGCCTGTACCCCAGTTCTGTATGCATAAATAAATAAATCATAAAAAAATACTGAGATATATTACATTCATTATTCCTGCTACATCTTTAAAATTCAGTGGCTTTTACACTGAGGGCACATGTCACTTTAGACTTAGTGCATTCCATGTGTGTCATTGACCAGAGGAAGCTAGAGGCTGCCACTCAGCACAGTCCTGCCCTAGACTCTTTTGATGGAAAGAGTTCTTTAACATGGTTTTACTGAGTTTACTTCGAGTATTGCTTTGAGATAAGTAGAAAGAGACCTTCCTGCTGTGAGGTTGGTCTCTGTGATACAAACTTGATAGCCCCTGTCCCCTCACCTCCACCTCCCTCACCCTCTACCCTTCCCTTCTAAAAATGTGTTTTCAGTTTCATAAGCAGTCTATAGAATCTTTAAAAAGCTACCATATATGCAGAACACATGAAACAGAAAGAGTAGACCTTTCAAGGTTAAAATACACGCAAGTGGGTATCTCTTTACTCTATTTGTAACTTGAGGAGCTAGTCTCTCTGGATTTCTTTTTTTGTCAATCACCTGTCTGTATTGGATTGTTGAGAGAACAAAGCAAGATTATTAATTTAACATAATAACTGAGAAATAGGAAATGATGGACATGTCAGCTGTTTTTATATACAAGTTCACAGTCTTTGTATAATTATCACCAAAGCACAATCCCTAACCGTGAGTATATGAGCAGAACATATGCTATATGGAAGTTACAAAATAGTTTTTCAATACCTATGAAGAAGTCCATTTATATATTTTAGTTAACTGTCATCTATAAGTTTTGTGGTTTTCATTTTTCATACAAATAATACGTATTATAGGGGTATATAAGCATAATCACCATTAAGATAATATGGGCATTTGTTTAGGCTAAAGGTGGTTTTTATTATTCATTGCTTTTTTTGAAATTGAAATACTGCAAGACCCTTTAGGGCTACAGTGTCCATCTGTAAGAACTGCAGTTACAACTGCTTTATAAGGCGTGGAGAGAGTGAATACAAAACCCATAGCTTTGTGTGCAATAAATACTTTTTTTTTGGTGGTAAATTCAAGTTGTATCTGTATAATCATAACGGAACCACCAAAGACATTATTACAAAGGTTTCTGGAAGTTTTAACAAGTAGTAACCATGAGTGTATGTTATGGAAAATAATGTTTACCTGTCTCTGATAAAGTTTTTAGAATGTTTAAATGGGATTGTGATAGAAAGCTACTTATTTCCCAACATAAAGTAAGCACTTGATATAAATATTTCACATCTTATGGAAGTATCCTCTTATAAATAGATAACAGAAAATATTTAATTCAGTAGTTTGTGCTGATAGATTTCAATATACAATCCTTGTATGTGTCCAGCACCAGGATCCTAGGAAATTATTGCTGCCCTATTTATGATACCTAATAAAGAGTAGTCAACCATGGTGATATTACCATACAAGATCATTAAAGTAACACATAAATGTCTACCCAGGTGGTTTTTAAAATTGAACAAACAGGTGGTTGTCACTGATGGAAAAGTTCTTCCACATCCATAATTTGCCTTCACCCTCCATCACTGGTCTGTAGGTGACTGAGGAACCATCTGTTTTCCCTTCCCACTGCACTAACCTTATTTTTGTATCTCTATTCTTGTACAGAGGTTACTACATAATAATTGTGCCTTTGAAGAAATCTCGTGGGAAATTTATCAAGCCATGGGAAAGTCCAGATGAGATGGAATTAGATGAGGTAACTGTCTTTCTTAAATCTGTCTTTCAATGGTTATTTAATTTATTAAACACCTGTCTCCTCCCTGGAGGGCTTCCATAACTAATCCAGTTGCTGACTTATGCACAGACTGCATGGGTGCCTGGATGGTTAGATGGTTCAGTTCTATGTGCATACATGTCCTTTATAGAATTTACAACAGTAAGCTATTTTTTGTTGTTGTTGTTTTAATTAAATGACATTAAGCCATAATAAAGCTCACAACTATCTAATCTTTGTCGGCACTAATATTTTGTCCCTTTGCCCCTTGTAAAACATGATGCAGAGGTGTGGAAGGTGAAGTAAGTTGTTAGCAAAGACTCACTTTCTATTATGATGAATTTGAAGGTCCATGCACTTCATTAGTACCAAGCAAGGCTGTTTCAAATGCTCAACTGCCTTATGCACCAGAATGCAAACTTTGACTTACTGTGTGTTCTTCTCCAGCTTATGAGTAGCAAATGTCTGCCTTGTTTTACACTCGTAGGGTTTTCACGATCAAAAATGCACTTACCTACAGGGGGAGAAAACAGATCACAAAATGTTGAGCCAAATAAGAACAAAAAATATAGAACAAAAAAAAAAAAATAGAGCAAATACCAGATAGGATGGTTTTAGTTTTCAAAAATCTACATTTGAAGTGATACTGTTTTTGGGGAAAAAAGAAAGAAAGAAAGAAAGAAAGAAAGAAAGAAAGAAAGAAAGAAAGAAAGAAAGAAAGAAAGAAAGAAAGAAAGAAAGAAAGAAAGG